TTATATTATTATTTAATAATTATTTTAAAAAGAATTTTAAATATTAATATAATCATTAAATTATATAGATATTAATTAAAATTAATTTAATCATAATAAATTAATATTTATGTAAGATGCTCTATAAAAAACACAACGAAAAGTAACCACAAATACAACCTTACATTATAGTCTACTTTTTTAATTTTTAGCTACATTGTAGTCAGCTTATTTAATATTTTTTATTTATTTTTAAAAAATTTTAAATTTTAGTTAAGTATATTTATTATTAAACTTAAAATAAGTATCCAATGTTGATATGGTTATAACCAATAATTAAAATATTAAAATTGATTATTTCAGTAACTGAACCAAAAATTCATAAACATTAAAAAAAATTTTAAAAAAGTTCCAATATTGATTTTAGTTAGAATAAAACTAAACCGTACCCAACCTTAGAAAAAGCAATGGAAACTCTATGATAGAAACCTTGCTGCAAACTGATTGAGACTAAACAAAGGGGCATGTTTAAGATTATAGTCACCAGAGAAGCTTGATCAGAACAATCAAGTTAGTTGAGTTACCAATTCATGAGTTTAAATCATATGAGATGCAACTAAGATGTGTTCAAGAATGGAAGAAAATTATTTTTCATTTGTACAACTCAAGATCAGAAAAGAAAACAAAATCTGCTTGTATTCAACAAGCCTATTCCCTTTTAGGCCAGAAATAAGACTCTTGTTAACAAGCAAGGGTGTAATCCGCTTCACAGAGTTGAGACATAATACAAGTCTTTTGAGTTAATTAATTTATGAACTTCACTATCACTTACATATAGTGGACTGCTACAGCCAAGTTTTGTCCCCTAGAGCAAGGCCTCAGATGACACAAGACTTAACGGAGAGACACAGCGCAGGTGAGGAGAACAGAGTACTTGTAAAATCCAGTGAAAATCGTTTAACAAGGATACAGTTTGAGCACTTATTATGTTGGCTTAAGGACAGACGATGAGATTAATCTCCACTGGCACAGCCTCTGCAACCACAGTGGACACACTCAATGACCTTCTCCTCTCTAAGGTGCTTAGGCACTCGGCACACACAAGTAGTAGCAAAGTTGTGATCCCGTGGTTGCATGCATCTTAAGCAACAGAGACGTTCATAGCCCGGCTGTTACATGAAAAGAAACTGTAAGCAAGATGAATGGAGGAGAACAAATGACATGACACAACTGAAATCTTATCAAAAGTTAAAAACCAAAATATAACATATAGAAAAAAGAGAGAATCAAATTAATGTCTTATGAAATTTGCTGGCTTCAACTACAGACCAAATGACAATTTGACTTTTCACAAGTATAGGATCAGCAATTATATTAATTTGAATTGGCCAAGCGAAAGACAATCTTGAGTTGGTTGTACAATAAATATTAGACAGAAGAGTTTTAAATTAATATATTATATGAATGGATGAGAGAAATACCTTCTTCCACTTTGCTATAAGATTGCGGTCAGCATAGCCTTGGTCCAGACAGAACTCATACAATTCCTTGGAAATTTCCTTCCTTCGGTGGTAGAGGTCAAAAATATAGCGACTCTTCTGATGTGCTATTTTGAAAATAGGCCACAAAGCCTCACATTTCCTCTTACCATCATGTGGATCATTCTCAGCTGTACCCTCCAAAAAATTATCCATTATTAGTTCAATAGCTGAAGATGATCAGAAAAGATTCAAACAGTAAAGCATGCATATGGTGAAACAATTAACCTTCTCTCATCTTTGCCTGCAGTTCTAGAAGGGTAGGCTCAATCAATCCCCATCCCTCTGGATACTTTACGCGGTTTGTCTTTACCTTCGGCATATTCTTCCACCTGCCATCGAGATATATAAATAGAACTAAGGATTCAGATAATCTAGAAATAACCCATATTGTCCTACAAGTACCAATTCCTTCATTACACTAAAAAAAAAAAAAAAATCATTTCAGAGGTTGTCAATCAATGCTGTTTCACGATCATATTCTAGCGTGCTTGGAATAACAACTAACCCCCTCCCCCCTGGAAATTGCACCTGATAGGAAGATATTTCATACTTCACCCACCAGCTTTAAAACCCCAGCAATAGCTTTCTTGGTGGGGCAAATAAGAATGAAAAGTATGCCAAGAGGGTGGAAAAAAAATGGCAAGCCACTACTCATTCTGACAGTGAACCTCAATCCCTAACAATTTTTAAAAAGTAAGATGCAGATATTTATAGCTTTCTCCGAGAAAATAATCAAATAACAGCTCCATCAACAGTTATAAGCTATAAACGAAAGAAAGATTATCAAATAATTTACCAATAAAGTTGGTATTACAACCCAACAAGCCTGCTGTTCCAAAAGTCAAAAGACTAACAAACATATGCTGCATAATTAATCGTGAATAATTCTTACTTGCAAACCATAAACAGAAACATATTGAATTACAGAAACGAACAAAAGAGGTGATTAAGAAGAAACACATATCCTTACATAAAGTTCTGAATTTTAAATTTGTTTCAAATGAATCTTTACATACACACAAGACGCTTGGCAATAAAATCTGCAAACAGCAAACCCTCCTGTATTGCATCGCCCAGTAATAGAAACTAGCTAGAATTGCATTTATACACAACAAGTTGCAAGCAGCATGAGTCAATAAAATCAAGGACGAACTGGGAACTAAGGATGTTAAGGTGGGTTTCAATTTAAAGCCTCCACAGTTGTTGGATACGATCGATTTTTTTGAGTTGGTGACTTATACCACAAACAGTTCATAATTTCATTCGATTATTCGATAAAATCAAAATTAAAATTCAATGAAGAAAAGGCCCCCAAAAGAGCAGAAAGATTTGAAGAAGAATATATATAACAAAATCCAAGTCGGAAACAAACCCTAGAAAAAGATCAGCAAAAGAGGAACGGAAAATAGAGTGCATGAGAACAGGAAAAGCATAAAAGGGAAGATGATGGAAAGGTATTGCAGAGGGCTAACCTGCACCGCGCACCGCCGCAAAGGATACTCCGCCGGCAGTTCTTGACCGGATCGGAAGTGGATCGTTGACGAAGACGGAAAGGGGTAGCTTCAAAAGTTGCAAGTAATACTGGGGATTTCGATTCTTGGATTTTTGCCTTTTTTTTCTTTTTTTGGGCCAAAGATTCTGGAATAATCCAGAAAAACGGCTAGGTATCTTCTGGGCCATGTCAGTTAACCCAACATATCATATGGACTTGGACTAAGCCCAACCGACCTTTTGTTACACTAAAGTTGGGCTTTACTGTAAACCCAACCCAGTAATGTTTTTTATTTTGTCTTCTTGATTTGGCCCAACCCAGTAATGTTGATGGAAAAGGGCCGGACGGATTACAGATCGGTTCATTTCGGGTTAGGTACTAGACGAGTCGGGTAGAACTCATATTTTTTAAAATATATTTTAATTAATCCATACAGAAAGCTTCCTAATGAGGCTTCAAATCAATTAGTTAAAGATTTAGCAACGGATGCCCCGTGCATATGCTGTTTTCTTCTAGTTTTTCTTAATTTTGTGTATTGTATAGTGGTTAAATTTATATTGTGTATATTTATATATTATATTGTATTCTATATAAAAAAAATGTAAATAAAATTTAACATTTTTTTTTTACAAAAAAAACTATGATGTTAGGTTAGGTTAGTATCTATTCTAAGTAATAGGTCAAAGTTGATATGAGGAATTGAAAGTGCATTCCACTTACTTTTCAATGTGAATATCAACACGTCACATGGGGAAATGCAAAATTTAACACTTTTTTTATCCCCTTAGGGGCATCATTTAGCATCATAGCTTAACCGTATTTGAATTTTGGTTTTGATAGTAAAAAATTTAATAACCAAAACAGGAAATCAAGATCAAAAACTAAAAACAAAACATGTTTAGTACAAGTTGTAAAAACTGACAACCAACAGACAAAATAGACATGTTTAGAAGGCAACCATTTATACAAACAAACAGGGTATATATGTATTCTGATCTGCATGGAAAATATGCTTTCCATTACCTAACTCATTGTCCAAGGCTACAATCTTTCTTTCACAAGTTTTCTTACCAGATTTTTGGTGTTATGTAGTAGTACTAGTGTCTCCTTATGCATTGGTTTTCGACGAAAACCAAAATTGTCTCTTTGAAGCTTGCATCGTGTAATCTTGATTGTCCTTAGGGAATAACTGTCAGAACACTGAAATTGGAGTAGCTAGTTCAGAATATGAACACCAACATTAGTCTCAATTAACATATAGGTATTAGATCTTTAGAAGAAAAGCGAATGGTAGAGATTGTATATAAATGAATAACGGTAAAGAAAAATGTAGTTTTTAATAAATAGTAATAAAACGCAGCAATAATTTGGGTGGATATATGGAAAAAGAAGAGAAACAGAAGTAAGAAATCCACCCTCCCAAACTCCTATCTGCCCCAGCCTCTACAAACAATGTCAAAAAAATGGGCCCTATGGTTCTTTCTCCCTTTTCTTTTCCTCCCTTCGCTTTGTGGTTTTGGTTGGGATGGGGTTTCAGTTGTTAATGCTCGCTCACACCCTCAAGACTAAGATCTAGAATAAGCATGGCCAGGAAAAAAAACTTACTGAAGAATCATAACTGTATGTATAGCTCCAATGAGGTTTGATGTTCCTTAGTTGCAAACATCTAGATGGAAGTGTGTGTTTTTTTCCCCACAAAGAAGTTGGTACTTTGCCATTGACTGTTATAAAGGTTTGAAGTTTGAACACCGGGCTTTAAACCTAAAAATAAGGCTTTGCAATCAACAGATACCAACTCAGCCACTTTTCATACTAATTTGAGAAGTTGGAGCCATCTTCTCAGCCCTATTATTTTCTTTTAGGCGAAGTCTCCATGCCATCTATATAATTTTGAAATCAAGAGCTTTGGGGAGTTTTGTAACTTTATCCGTATTTCATATTAGGTACTAAAGAAAAAGGAAATAGAAAAAGAAAAAGAAAAAGAAGAGAGTGATAGCTTACATCTTCAGGAATGTCATATTCACCTTTACATGCATCACACAAGTCAATTGCTAATTGTCGAAGTGTTGACATCTATAGTCATTGTTAGAGGGAAAAGAATTAATATTCCTTATTCAATTTCATTAAATGATAAATAGAGAAAAAAAGAAGAAGGTAAAACCAAATATAACAATTCTACTTTGTTAATATGATTACCCTGGAAGCTGCGTCAAGAATGAAGTTTTTTGGTATCCCTGTGCCCTGAACAAATAAATGCAGTCAGGACGGCCATTGAGTT